GGGGCAATAGATATTGGCGATTTTCCACCCCTCCCCACATTTTTTGAGGGGCAAATTCAGAAAGCCCAGGCCATGGAGACCCCCGATATGGGAACGACCCACGAAGGGGAAGACATATTTCGCGGTTGCTTCACGGGAGTCAAAGATACTACCGATCTGGGTGATGCATCGAGTATCTTCGATGAGGCTCAACAACTTCTAGGCCAAGTAAGCCTCAGCTCCCTTTATCAATATTGCATTTGCTTTTATTTCCTCTTGCCTGGTTTCCTTTCTTTCTTCACAGGCCTAGACGCTCTATTGCGAAGCGTTTCCTAAATCTCGGGCTGAGCTGAACCGGTGTGAGGCCGATCTTAAAAAGCTAACGGAGGAGAGAGATGCGCTCAAACTTATCAGTGGGCAAAAAGAAGAGGAGATCAAGGACCGCCAAGTTGAACTAGCCACAGCTCACAAAGAGCAGACCGACCTGATTGAGCAGGTAATGAAGAATTTTCTTAGAAGCTCGATGCATCAATTCGGGAATGATGACTAATACTTTGATCCTACAGTTTCAACAAAAGGCCGAAAAGATCGAGCAACTCTGTGAGGAGGCCAACATGATGAAGGCGGAGACTTTAGAGTGGAAGCAAAACATGGATCGCGTTGCTTCGGAGAAGGATACTGCTCGAGCCCAACTGTCACCGGTCGAAAACCAACTCCAAAGCATGAAGGAGGAAAACTTGGCCCGAACCAAGAAAATTAAGGAGCTTGAGGCTGATAGCAGAGGGCCGACAATGTCCATTCCCCATTTCATGAACGGCCATGGGGATAGGACTGAATGAAGTTGCTCCCCGAGTTAGTGGATTATCGGTGCATGTCTTTGGCATTTGTCACATTTTTGAACGAACTCCTAGTATCCGTTTCCATATTGGACCAATTATAGTACCCCGCTCTGATGACTTTGTGAACCAGTGATTCGGAACCGGAATGGTTCCCGCAAGTACCCTCGTGAATTTCTCCTAGAATGTAGTCGGTGTCTCCCGGACCCAAACATATCGCCAACGGTCCATCGAACATCCTTCTATATAATGTTACATCTTCGGCCAATATGAATCGTGTAGCCTTTGTTCGCGGAGTCCTTGATTCTTTAGCGTCTGATAGAAGCTTCCCGTTTTTTAGATACTCGATGTATGTGTTCCTTCAATCCCAAGTTAGTCTTGTGGAGTTTATTTTCGCATGCCCTTCTTCGACTACTGACTTTGAAAGTTATACGATAGTCCCCGAGCTAATTTCGTCATCTTCGATTGATGACCCCAAATTTGCAAGGGCATCGACCTCACTATTTTGTTCTCGAGGTACATGTTATAGGGTCCATTCATTATACCAGTGTAGGGTTACCTGCAGTTTGTCCAAGTACCTCTGCTTTCGATTTTCTCGAAGGTCCTGTCAACATGGTTAACCACAAGTAGGGAGTCGCACTTGGCCTCGATGACCTCTGCTCCCAAGCTTTTAGCTAGTTCGAGACCTGCAATCATGACCTCATACTCGGCCTCATTGTTAGTCAATTTAGGACTTTTGATAGATTTTCTAATTGTATTGCCTGTGGGCGGCTTCAAAATGATGCCTAGCCCGGACCCTTTCACATTCAAAGCGCCATCTGTGAAAAGGGTCCAGACCCCTAAAGATGTACCAGTTCTTATCAAAAGTTCCTTTTCGACCTCGGGTATGAGGGCTGACGTGACGTTGGCCACAAAGTCTGCTAAGATTTGAGACTTGATGGTCATTCGGGGTTGATACTCGATATCATACCCACTGATTTTGACGGCCCATTTGGCCAAGCGACCCGAGAGTTCAAGCTTGTGCAGAATATTACGAAGAGGGTAAGTGGTCGCCACATAAATTAAGCAGCACTGAAAATATGGTTTTAATTTCCTAGAGGCACTTATTAGAGCAAGAGCTAATTTTTCTAAGTGTGGGTACCAGGTTTCGTCTTCACCTAAAGTTCGACTAACATAGTAAATAGGAAATTGCGTCCCTTGCTCTTCTCAAACTAGGACACCACTTATCTCAACTTCCGAGACTACTAAATATAAGTAAAGCTGCTCGTCCACTTTCAGAGTATGAAGTAATGTTAGGCTCGTAAGATACCGCTTTAATTATTCCACTGACTATTGTCATTCCGGGGTCCAAGCAAAATTGTTCTTCTTTTTTAGCAGTGAGAAGAACCTGTGACTTCGATCTGAAGACCTCGAGATAAACCGGCCTAAGACAGCTATTCGCCCTGTTAGTCTTTGTACAGCCTTAATGTTGTCCACGACCGTGATGTCTTTGATTGCCTTGATTTTATCGGGATTGATTTCGATTCCTTGATTTGACACCATAAAGCCGAGGAACTTGCCCGAACCGACCCCGAATGCACATTTCTCAGGATTGAGCTTCATGTTGTATTTTCTCACTATGTTGAAAGTTTCCTGCAAATGTGTTAAATGGTCCTCTACACGCAGGGACATAACTAGCATATCGTCAGTATATACCTCCATTGATTTACTTATTTTTTCTTCAAACATTTGATTCATTAGGCGTTGGTAAGTGGCACCAGCATTTTTAGCCCAAATGGCATAACATTATAAAAATAGGTGACATTCTTAGTAATGAATGAAGTCTTTTCTTGATCCTCCGGGTTCATCTGAATTTGATTATACCCGGAGTAAGCGTCAAGAAAACTAAGGATATCGTGGCCGGCCGTGGCATCGATCATGCGATCGATATTCGGCAGAGGAAAAGAGTCTTTCGGACATGCTTTGTTTAAATCCTTATAATCTACGCACCTTCTAAGTTTGTTCCCCATCTTGGGGACTACAACTATGTTTGCTTACCATTCGGGATACTTTACTTCCCGAATGAATCCAAATTTTGAGAAGTTTGGTTACCTCATCCTTGATTAATACATGTTTTACCTCAGACTGGGGCCTTCTCTATTGTTTTACTAATCTGAACTTTCGGTGCAAGCTCAATCGATGTGTTGTGATCTCGGGTAGGATTCCTGTCATATCTAGGTGGGACCAAGCAAAACAATCCATGTTATTTAAAAGGAATTGAACGAGTTTTTCCCTAAGCTCGGGAGTTAACCCTGTGCCCAGGTATACCTTTCGATCGAGAAGATGCTCGATTAGTATGGTTTGCTCCAGCTCCTCGACCGTTGACTTCATTGCATCAGAATTATCGGGGGTCATGAAGGTTCGAGGTATCATAAAATCTGCATCCTCGAAGATCTCTTGCTCCTCCGATGGGGCCGAGGTCGGTACCTGTGGTTGCTATTTGATTTCCTATTTTCCCTTTGGTTCTGATCCCTTTGCTGACGAAAGCACTGATATCGGTACTACTTCATCGATTGCAAACTTCTCTTTGGTGGCGGGTTATTTGCCGTACATATTTTTGACTCCTTCCAATGTTTGGAATTTCAAGACTTGATGAAGTGTTAAAGGTAATACCCTCATATTATGAATCCAAGGTCTTCTGAGCAGTGCGTTGTATTTTATGTCACCTTCAATTACATGGAACTTTATTTCCTATAATGTCCCGACCATATTTACCGACAAAATGATTTCCCATTTGGTGGTTTCACTTGCCAAGTTGAAACTGTTGAGTACTCGATCTGCAGGCACGATTTGATCCCGGAGGCCAAGCTGCTCTACGACCCACGATCGAATAATGTTTGCCGAAATACCTGGATCAACTAACACACGTTTAACTTGAATTTTATTCATAAGGATAGATATTACTAGTGCGTCGTTGTGAGGTTGTTCGATTCCTTCTGCGTCCTCATCGTTGAAAGATAAGGTATTTTCTGGTAAGTAGTCCCGGGTATGCTTCTCCCTTGTGATTGGCACTTTAGTGCATTTAAATATCGGGCCTTGAGGAATATCGGCCCCACCAACGATCATATGGATCACGTGTTGTGGTTACTCCTATTCGTTTTTCCTGTTTGCATCCATGTATCTGGAATGATTTTTAGCTCGGTCACTCAAGAACTCTCGAAGATGACCTTGGATAAATAAATGATCCCCTCCTCCCTAAACTGCCTGCAGTCTTCGATTTTGTGACCGTTGGTTCGATGGTATTTGTATATTTGATTAGGGTTCCTTTGAACCGGATCAGTCTATAGGGGTCTAAGCCACCATCCTTGATTTGTCCAATGACTGATACAATACCCGACGAATCGATGTTGAAGTTGTATTCTGACAATCGTGGCGCTTCTTTCAGCTCGACATATTTATCGAAGCCAATTTTTCTCATAAGCCCTCGGGAGCTTTGTCCTCGATCATTTCGAACGGGATTACGTCTTGATCCATTATTTCTACGATCTGCATTGTATGGTTGGTACCAATCTCTATTTGATCGGGGCTCTATGTCGATGTCTCTTTGAATTCTGGGTAAACCAAACTGGAAGGGGCTCCTAACTGATCATCCTTGACCTTGATTTTTGACTAGTATCGATTATATATATTGGCCCGGAAGGGGCTCCTAACTAATCTATTTGGGTAAACGGAACCGGAAGGGGCTCCTAACTAATTATCCTCGACCCTGATCTTTTACTGGTATCGATCATGTACATTGGCCCAGGTCACAGCTAGATATTCAATCAAATTCTACTTCAGTTGTCGTGATGCTATCGAACTTCGCTCGTTCAAACCTTGAGTGGAGGCTTGGACAACCCAGTCGTCAGTGACTGGGGGTAGGTCCATGCGTTCCATCGGGAACCAAGATACGAATTCTGTTAGCATTTCATTATTCTTTTGTCTTGCTTTGAAAAGGTCCGACTTCCTAGTTGCGACCTTTATTGCTCTAACGTGCGCCTTTACAAACGAATCAGCAAGCATGGCGAAGGAATTGATGGAATTGGGCGAAAAATTGTGGTACCATATCATTTCCCCCTTCGATAAAGTTTCTCCAAACTTCTTCCACAGAACAAATTCAATTTATCATTTTCTAAGTCAATTCCTTTTATTGCGCATGTATAAGAGTTACATGCTGATTAGGATCAGTGGTTCCATTGTACTTGGGATTTTTTGGCATGCGAACTTCTTTGGTATGGTCTTCGGAGCCACACTTGGTGGGAAAAGCTTTTGTACGAACTTCTTCGAATCTAAACCCTTTATAATCGGGGGTGCCCCCGGTATTTGATCAACCCGTGAATTGTATGTTTCTACCTTTTTATCATTAGCCTCAATTTTCTTTTCTCTTGATTCGATCCGCTTAGTGAGCTCCTCGAGAATCTTCATGATGGAGGGGTCAATTCCTGATCCATTATCGTTCAATTTCTCTGGTACAGGTTCGACCATATGAATAACTTCCTGTGATGTATCGAGTTCGAATCTGCTTGGTGCTCGACTATGATTTTGGACTTGTTCTATCAGAGCTTGTTGAGTCTGCAACCTTTCAAATATCATTCGGAGGCTAATCCCACCTTTTTTACCACTCTGTGTGTTCTGATCGGCTTCCTGGGCATCTCTGCGGACTCTATTTTAAGGGTCGGCGCCTAAATTTCCATGAATGGGAAAACGAGAACTGACATTGACTGGATCTATGGCCGGTGGTCCATCAGGATTAAGGGGAGGTACTCCATTTCCTGGGGCGACTATGTGCTCGTTCTCACCATGAAGACCAAGGCCGGCGTCTATGTGGGTGGGTGTTGCTTGAGAGTTTGACATATTGATTCCTGAAATCAAAGATACTTACGAGAACAAGCATAAAGTAATGTGTGTTATGTGGATTAATACTAGGTAATCACTATTATCCTTAGCTCCATGGTGGACGCCAAACTGTTTACCCAAAAAACTAGATAACAATTACTTATTATGTGGTTTTAAAGATACGTAATTTCACCTAATACCAGTTGATAACGTAAAGATAAGTAGTAGCAATTAATAGTAATGTAAGGCAAACCAGTGTTTCGAACAGAACTCAGCCCTCAAGCTTGAATACCCTCGACCTAGTTTGTGCAAGAACAACTAAAGTATAGTAAACTGATGAACGTACCAGAGGATGTAAACTAAAGAGAGAATATTATATTGCTTTTATCTGTGTGAATGCAAGGTGTTTACAAGATGAATAGGACCCCCTTTATATAGTAGAGGAATCCTATTTATGGTACAATTCTAATTACGGAAGTAAATCCCATGATTAATTAGATAACCGCCCTTGATTTGATCTGTTTCGAGATTTACTCCATGATCTTCGGCCAGTCACAGATATCTCACCTTTCTGTTATTGCGTTTTGCTCGAAGTCTGTCATATTTGATCTCGATCTTTGCTGACCTCGATCTCGACGGGCACCTCGATCCTTGGAGTCGATACCTCATCTTCGTGCTCTGATCTTACCCATTATGAGGCTAACCCTCGAAGCATTTCCCCGATCTCGATTAAATAGCACAATCGGGTAGGCCGATTTTAACCGTATACGAATATATAATGAAATTTGTTCAAGAACTCCAAAATAAAAAACAAATCAGAACACATGATCACTAGCAATTTGCCAGTCTCCACGTACCTCCTTTAGGATGGGACGAATCTGATCTCGTCGAACAAATGCTGAAAGAAATGGAACTTCTCAAACCTATGTAATAGAAGGCAATTCACCTCTAAATAAAAATTTGTTGGTCCTTAGAAGAAAAAAAAAGGTTAAATCTCAAATATTTTTTAACCTAATTAGCAAAATTCCTGACTTAATTTGTCGCTACCTGCTGAAAAGCTAAAAGAATGCTGAATATGTTCCCAAAGCACTGGGAAAGAGGTTTTCCACAAACTGCAGTTGTCAATTCTTCTAAAGGAAAGGAGCAACTTTGATTTCCTTTTTTCTTTCTTTGCATCATCATATGTTTCCTTTTCTTTTGTTCTCTTTCACTTCCCTTTTTTCTCGAATTAAATTCACTTTGTTAAGGAATGACGTTCTACAGTGTCATTATCAACCTTTCTTCATTAAAATCTCCCCAAGCATTTGGGAATCTACATATATAATGCTGCAATTTCCTTCACTCAAAAAGGGTTGGTAAATACTTAACCACGATGTAGATATTAAGGTAGTGCAAAAATCACTTTTAGGTCAGATGCAGATACCATTGTAGGTCAACCATGGATTCCCATGGTACTTTTTTTTGCTTCGAAAGGAAGCAAGATATGGTGTGTTTGGTACCATGGAACTTAGTTTTCATGAAAACTATTTTTCTGGAAAAAATAAATTATGAATTTTTTTTCTAATATATATATCAAAAAGATTAATAATAAAGTTAGAGCAAATTGGAGAGTATTTGACTAAAATTTTTAATATTAAAGACTAGTAATAAAGTCTAAATAGTAGTTGAAACAAGTAATATAAAATGAAAATTAAGATAGTTGTGAGAAAAATTGTAATGACCCGGCCGGAACCGCTCTGTTTCCTCCATTTCTGCTTCTTTATGTGTTGTTCAGCTATATTTCATCGTATCGCGTTGGTTGGTTTGGTTCGGAGTGGTTTTCTAGAGAAATGAAATACTTAGTCTCTTTTTGGGAAGTTTTAGTTGAAAAAGTCAACCGGAAGTTGACTTGTGAGTAAATGATCTCGGAACTTTGTTTTTATGGTTCGGATAGCTTCGTAAGGTGATTTGGGACTTAGGAGCGTGATCAGAATGTATTTTGGAGGTCCGTGGTAGATTTAGGCTTCAATTGGCCAAATTGGAGTTTTGGCGTTTTCCGATTGGTAGTGAAAATTTTGATATCGGGGTCGGAATGGAATTTCGGAAATTGGAGTAGGTCCGTTGTGTCATTTTTGACATGTGTGCAAAAATTTCAGATCATTTGGATGAGGTTTGATAAGTTTTTGGATCGGTTGCGGAATTTGGAAGTTTTAGAATCCTTAGGGTTGAATCCGAGGGTGATTCAGTGTTTCAGTGTTGTTTTGAGTGTTTCGAAGATTGGAATAAGTCTGAATGAGGATATGTGACTTGTTGGTGTATTTGTTAAGGTCCCGAGGGCCTCGGGATAGATTTGGATGGTTGGCGGAAGGTATGGAGTTGATTTGGAGTTGCAGAAATTTGCTGCTTCTGTTGTTTCCGCACCTGCGGATAAGGGACCGTAGGTGCGATAATCGCAGAAGCGAGCAAAGGCCGCAGATGCGGTTGGGCAGCGCAGAAGAGGAAGTTCAGACGCACCTGCAAGCCCGCAGGTGTAATGGATTGACTGCAAGTGCAGATGAGGGATTTTAAGTGAAAATCTGCAGAAGCGAAGATTTGTCCACAGGTGCAGACCGCAGATGTGACATCAGTACCGCAGGTGCGGTTTTGCTGGGCATAAAGTATAAATAGAGGCCTTCGCGAAATTTGGTCCTTTTTTCACCATTTGTATTCGAGTTTGAAGCTTTTTGAGAGGGATTGAAGGGGTAACACTTGGAGATAAGATTTTTGAACTCAATACTCGATTCTATGGTTATTTCTAACTAATTAGTTATGGAATTAGTGGGATTTAATGGTTAAAAATTGAAGGATAGGGCTTGAGTTTTGGAGAGTTTTCACTGGGGATTTGAAGGGAAATTTGAGGTCCGATTTTGATGTTCTTGGTATGTATGGACTCGTAGAAGGATAAGGATTCTTGTGATATGATTTTTATCAAATTTTGAGATGTGGACCCGTGGGTTGGGTTTGGCCAATTTCGGAATTTTTGAGTTAATTTGATTATTTTCGCTTGGGCTTTGTTCCTTTAGCATGTATTAATGATATATACTGATTTTGGTTAGATTCGGGGCATTTGGAGGCCGAATCGAGAGGCAAGGGCGTCGCGGGCTAGAGTTTGGCTTGATTTGAGGTAAGTAACGCTTCCAAACTTGGTTCTGAGGATTCGAAACCCTGAACTATATGTTCTATGATTACTATTGAGGTGATGTAAATGCCAAGTGTCGGCCGTGTGGGTGTGCATCGTGAGACTCGCGGCCTGGATCATTCCATGGCACCGCTTAGTGACTTCTTCTTGTTGATATCTGTGTTGCAATTATGTGATTAAGTTAATGAGTTATAAATCATGCTAATTATCATGTTAAGGCTTCACGCCAATACTATTAAGACCCAAGAGGTAGTTTCTTACTGTCATTTAATTTGCTTTATTGATATTCTATACTCAGTCATATTCATGCATATTATATTATGCATCAGTCTCGATTATTGTTATTTGACACATCATATCATTGTTCGGTCTAGTATCATGACATTTTGAGCCAGTGTGTGTAAGACTAGAGAGGGATGACTGAGAGGCCGAGAGCCTGATATTGAGTGACAGTATGTGATCGGATTACATACCGCAACGAGATATTGATTATGCCTTCGTTGGATTGTTATAGCGCTTGCGTTGAAAGGAGCCCCTCCGGAGTCTTTACACCTCCAGTAAGCGCAGTTGATGATATTGAGTGATGGATCTTCCTTGGACGTAGATCTTGTCCGAAGTATTTATAAATGGAGATGGATCTTCTCCATAGGGCTGGAATGGCCTTCCTCAGTACTGGATGCCTGCGGTCAATGATGTGTATGTATTCTGGGATGGATCTTCCCTGGGCCGAATGGCCATATACAGTACCGAGTGGTTGAGCATTTATGGGTGGAGGTATACGAAACATTGATCATGCTATCTGTGCATTAGTACTTAGAGATTCCTGAGCTTTATACTCCATACTGTTCAGACTGTATTTATTTACTGCTGAGTATTTACTTGAACTGCAAGCATGTCTACTTTCCTGTATAGTTTAATTGTATTACCTGTTGAGGTTTGGTTCGTCACTACCTGTCAGTCCATAGTTTGGATTTGTTACTTACTGAGTTGGTGTACTCACGTTACCCCTGCACCTTGTGTGCAGATCCAGGTATCTCAGGGCGCGGTAGCGGCTGTTGACTATTTCGGTCGCGGACTTCACGAAGATAGCGAGGTAGCTGCGTGGCGATTCGTAGTTCCGCTTTTCTCATTCTCTATCTTCCTATTAGTACTTTTTTGTTATTTTCAGACTATTTGGTCTTGTCTTACTTCAGAACTATTGTAGCATGGTTCATGACTTAGTGACACCCGAAGTCGGGCTTATATTTTTTTTCCGCTTTGTTAAATTTTGATTTTATCTCTTCATCGGATTTCTGTTGAAAGAAATGGTTTTACTTAAGTTTTTAAATAAAAAGTGAATTAAATTGGAAATGTGTCAGCTATTTTAGTTTCACGATAGGCGTCATCACGATCGGGTCTGTTTGGGGTCATGACAAAAATAATTTTTGTCAAATCAAACCCTACAAAATGATACACATTTGCATCTTTCCTTTTCATCTAAAAATTTCAACTATTAAACACAAATTTAATTACTTAATTATATCTTATATCAACAGTACTTTACCCGTGAATAAAGGAAATTGGAGTGGTTAATGAGGAAAACAACTAAGGTCATCAATTTTAAGTACTAACATACCGTCCATAAAGTTTTATTAATAGCAAGGCTACCACGGATCCTTTACTGATTAAATCTCCCGTTGACTAGATGGGTATTAATCATGCTTAATAATGGCAAAAGAATGATTCGGAGATATATTTATGTAACAAATTGGAGTTAGACATGAAAACTAAAGCCTTTCCGTGCATTAAAGCATGTCTATCAACTTTACAAACTTAGTTAAATTGTTAATCGACACGAACTAATCAACTAGCGTATGAATTAACATTTATATGACTGGTCTAATCATTATTACTAGATGGAGAACGCCACGAGAAAGATCTATAATTATCATAAAAAATTAACTTATGTGGCCATCCACCTAAATATTTAAATCAAAAAACAGCCAGTACATATTTAATATATGTATAATATATATTTATATAATTGTGTATGACTATTGACTTAAAAAGGTAAATTATAAATCTGATCGACCATTTGTGTAAAGATTGCACATTAAATTTTATCGGTGATCATTAAACTTTTCATTACCCAAAAGTTACTTTTCTTTCTTTTGTTACGTAAAAGTCATTCAACTTTATGTTCATTACCCAAAAGTCACTTTTCTTTCTTTTGTTAAACAAAAATCATTTTACTATGCTGTAGTTATCCCAATAATCACTTTGACCAGATTTTATAAAACTTTCATAATGGAAGTACATGAATAGAAGTCCCCTCCGTAAGGCGACATAAGGCTAAGCAACTGATGTCAGTGCAGTTACTGTCCGCCAACTGAAGTCCCCTCCATACGCTAGACTATATTGTCAGTGCCGTACGGGAAAATCAATGTCAAGAGCAATTGAGAGAACAGAAATAAGGATTGAGAATGAAAGAAAGCTTGATTGCATTAATGAAAGCTATTACAGAAAGGCAACGCAGTGTCGAGGGGGAGAGACACCAGTACAGAGAATTGTTTGCTTGCTAAAAAGTTTGATTGCTTGATCCCCCTAATAATACTTAAAAAAAATAAACAAAAGCTACAAGACTAGACTTGATTAAGCTAGAGAAACATAATGGAAGTACATGGAATAAAACTACTCTATATTTAAAATGAAAAAGACTTAGTTTTCTATAAGGCAGAAACAGGTCCGTTGTCAGTAGCATAGTCTTTGGTATCAGGGTCTATGCGCGCGGCGCTATCAGCATCTGCCTGCGGTTGGGCGCTGGCGAGGGATATCGGTGGGGCGATAGAGGCACATGCGCGATTGTCACTTGGCGCGGCCAAGACCACGGGGCCGTCCGTGGCACTAGGCATTGGGAGGCTGGCTAGGACGCCACGGGGCGCGCCCAAGGGGTCATGGGGCACGGCTGGAAAGCCGCCCATGACATTCTCCCCCACCTGAGTTGGCGACGTCCTCGGCGCCTTACTTGCAAGATAATCTTCAATTAGGCTCTTGTAGGCTTTGAGGTTTGTTCCCCTCTCCCAAGTGTTCTCCTCTGCATCACAGCCCTGCCATTTCACCAAGAACTCTTGGTGATCTTTTCTTGAGGCATGAATCACTCTATCATCAAGTATACCTTCAACACGCCTTTTCCCGGTTGAATTGGGCCCTCGATTACTGGGTATTGTGAGTTGGCTCCGTGAAGGATCCTCCGTGTCTTCCCGAAAAGGTTTCAGAAGGCTGACATGGAAGACATGATGAATTTTCCGCCAAGCTGGGGTATCCACCCGATATGCAACTTTCCCAATGCGCCTTTCAATGGACAAGGGTCCAATGTATTTTTGCAATAGGCGAGGGTCATGGACCCCCGCAAATAAGTAACGCTTTGGAATTTTGACCATCATTTTGTCTCCTACTTGGTATTCAACAAAGCAACGATTTTGATCAGCATGCCTCTTCATCCACTTTTGAGCCTTGACAAGATAGCTCCGCACTATCTCCAAATTTTGCTTCCACTCTTTAGAGAAGCTAGCAGCTCGAGGAGATTTAGACATATTTGGTGCATTGACTGTGTGTGGGAGTAGCGGTTGCTGTCCGGTAACAATTTCAAAAGCGCTTTTGTTTGTACTAGAGCTCTTTTGTGAATTGAAACACAGTTGACCAGCATCCAGAAGCTTCACCCAATTCTTCTACGATCCGGTTACAAAGTGACGGAGATATTCCTCCAACATACCATTGAACCGCTCCGTCTGGCCATCAGATTGCTGATGAAAACTTGAGTTGTGACTCAGCTTTGACCCAAGGCACTTAAAGAGTTGGATCCAAAAATTACTAGTGAAGCGTGAGTCGCGATCACTAACAATGTCTTTGGGTAGGCCCCAATATTTGATGACATCAGAGAAGAAGAGTCGAGCTATATCTTCTGCTGATATATATTGTGGGGCAGCAATAAATGTAGCATACTTGGAAAACCGATCTACCACAACCAAGATAGTTGTTAGATCTCCGACCTTGGGCAATCCGGTGATGAAATCCAGGGAAACGCTTTCCCAAGGTCTCTTTGGGACAGCTAGTGGTTCCAAGATTCCCGCTTATGTTAAGCGGTCTGACTTGTCCTTCTGGCATACTAGACAAGTCTTCACATATTGAGCAATGTCATCAGCCATTTGAGGCCAATAATATGCACGATGAAATAACGCCATGGTGCGTTCCTCACCAGGATGGCCGGCCCATAGAGTATCATGACATTCAGCCAGAAGAGTCCTCCGCAGATCTCCTCCTTTAGGAACATAAAGTCGATTCCCTTTCACTTTCAGAAAACCATCTTCCATATAGAACTGGCGAGTCTTGCCCTGTCCTACCAAATCAACCAAATACTGTACAACAGGATCCTTGATGAGTAAATCCTGTATCTGGTCCTTGATGGATATGGCTACTTCGCTCCCCCTTAGGGTGGCGAGTAGGCACACTGATGCTAGATCAGCTCTCCGACTAGCGCATCAGCAACATGATTGGTCTTCCCACTTCGGTGCTCCAGGTTGAAGTGGAATTCAGCTAAGAGTTCCTGCTACCTGTCTTGTCGACCATTCAACTTCGGCTGCGTCATGAAATGGCTAACAGCTGTGTTGTCTATCTTGACCACGAACGGGATCTCCAGCAAATAGTGCCTCCAAAGGCGCAAGTAGTGGACGACATCCAATAATTCTTTCTCATGGGCGGCATTGCTCCACTCTGCATCTTTCAGCTTCCGACTCTCGTACACTACAGGATGCCCTTCTTGTAGCAAGACTCCACCGAGGGCATAGTCAGATGCATCTGTTTGTACTTCGAATGGCATGGCCAGATCAGGAAGGGCCAAGATGGGGCTACTAGACATAGTCACTTTCAATGCGTTGAAGGCCTCCGCTCGCTTGTGTCCCCATTCCCAAGGTGTGACCTTCTTGAGGAGTTCTGTCAATGGTACTGCAATGAGGGAGTAGTTTTTCACAAATCGCCGATATAAATTGCATAGACCAAGGAACGCCCTCAAGGCGTGGATATCCTTAGGCGGCGGCCAATCTGTGATTGCCTGAATCTTCTGCTGGTCCATCTTGATCCGCCCTTCCTCAATGACATGTCCGAGGAAGTCAATTTGCTTTTGAGCAAAGGAGCACTTAGATAGCTTCGCATATAGTTCATGCTCCCGCAAACGAGCTAGGACCTTCCGCAAGTGCATCAGGTGTTCCTCCAATGTTTGGCTATATACCACAATGTCATCCAAGTAGACCACCATGAATTCATCAATGTACTCTCGGAAGATTTGGTTCATCAAAGTGAAAAATGTAGCTAGGGCGTTAGTCAAGCCAAATGGCATAACCAGGAAATCGTACGACCCATATCTTATCACACGGGTCGTCTTGTGCTCATCACCCTCTGCAATCCGAACTTGCCAATAACCTATCTTCAGTTCTATTTTGGTGAACACCGTTGCACCACCCAGTCTATCGAACAAGTCTGCCATTAGCAGAATAGGGTACTTGTTCTTCACAGTAATTTTGTTTAGAGGCCAATAGTCCACACAGAGTCGTAGACTGTCATCATGTTTCTTTTGGAATAGCATATGGGACTCGTATGGGGATTTGGAGGGCACGATGATCCCTGTGTCTAGCATTTCCGTCAATTGTCTCCAAAGCTCGGTGAGTTCGGGTTGTGACATTCTGTAAGGCACCCGGGCAGGTGGCTTCGCGCTCGTCACCAGCTCAATTTCTTGGTCCACAGTGCACCTAGGCGGTAGTCGCTTTGGTATGTCTTGTGGCATGACATTTTCAAACTCTAGTAGTAGCTCCTTCACGGGCTCAGGAATGGGACCCGAGGAGCGTTCTACATCTTCAATGCAGAGGGTTGCTAGGAATGTAGGTTCATGTCTTTTGACCCCCTTCTTCAACTGCAAGGCTGAGATGTTTTCAACGGCCATCTTCATGGGCATGCACGGGATAATACAGGGCTTGGTCCCGTTTTCTCCCATCATCAGTAACATGTCATATGGTATAGGCATGGTGTTGGTTTGCCTCAGGAATTCCAATCCAACTATCAACTTGAAGTCATCTATGATCACCACGTGCATGTTGAATTTTCCTTCGTAAGGGCCAAACTTCACTGGTACTTCTTTGGCTATCCCACCCACTGGCTGAGGAGGTGAGTTGATAGCTTTGACACTACCTCTGCCCTTTCCTACATCTAGACCAAGGCGCTCCACCTGAGTCAAGGCTAAGTAGTTGTGGGTAGCACCCGTGTCTATCATCGCCTGAATGGGCTTGCCATTTACCTTCATCTCAACGAACATTAAGGTCCTCTCTTGTTTAGGAAGATTCTTCTCATCCGCCTTCTTTTTCCCTTTCTTGGTGCTTGGGCAGGGGTCCTTCTTCTTACGGATGCCAGCACTGGTTCCCGCTAAGGCCTCAGAAATGGAGCTAACAATTGCATTGAAGGCGCATACTGGCTCGGTCTGGTCTGCATCATCTGTGTCGTCATCTGTCCCATCATCAAAGGCTTGATGGGCGTTCATCTGTGCATGTAGACACTCATTATTCCAATGTGGTCCGCCGCAATGACGGTATCCCGAAGGATTCTTTCTCCCCCGGTCATTGTTGTTTGACGCAACACTATTGCTGCCTAAGGAGGGAGCCTTAGATTTGGTTGCACTCCGATCTCCCCCACTTCTGCTAGACCACCATTGCTAGGTTGGCCCTCTTTGACTCCCACTCGGACAGGCGGCTGAGGCCGATCCTTCCGTGCTTCCACTTGATAGTCCCCAAGGCATTCAGCTGCTTGGATCACCTTGGGTAGGGTATCTACCTTTTGTCTTTGCAGTTCCATGCGGGCATAAGGTTTCAACCCTTCTAGGAAGGTGAAGAGCTTGTCTTTGTCCCCCATGTCATGTATGTTTAGCATGAGCGCGGAGAATTCCCGCACATAGTCCTGCACTGACTTGCTCTGGCGGAGCTGCCGTAGCTTCCTCCTTGCATTGTATTCCACATTTTCGGGGAAGAACTGTAGACGTATGGCTGCCTTCAGTTCTGCCCATGTCTCGAGAGCATCTTCACAGGCCTTGATGGCTTCGTACTTTACCCGCCACTAGAGTTTAGCATCACCCTAAAGATACATGGCAGCAGTTGCTACCTTCTTAGCTTCTTCTAGGCCTCCAACAACATCAAAGTACTGTTCTATGTCAAAGATGAAGTTTTCCACTTCCTTGACATTCCTAGCTCCACTATATGGCTTTGGCTCAGGAATTTTTAGTTTTTGTGTCGCGGAAGCGAGGTTCGCAGCGGCCCCGATTTGGTTTCCACCGCCTCAAAGCAGTCCCTGTAAAGCAGCATTGACAACATTGAGTTTGTCTGTCAAGTCGTCAATAGTTTGTTGCATGGCAGTCACCCTGTCTGCCTCTTGTGCCCTGTAAGCTAAATCCTCGACACGCTCCTGTTGGAGTCCCTCGAATTTTCCAAAAATTTCGGCTGTCTCTGTGGCTGCCATTTGCCGGTCTCCCTCGGAGTCGCGACTGATGTTTTCTATGTCAACTTCGGCCTAGAGCACCCTACGGTCCAGGTCGTCCAACTTTTTCCCTAGGCTGGTTCTTAGTTCAGGCACCATATCCACAATGGGTCGTAATCCGTCAACCGCCTGTTCAAGGGCTGCAATGCGGTCCCCACGATTCACCATGATCAGAAATTGGGGTAATGGCAATGTGTTCCCTCGTCCGATGTCGAGCCTAGGCTCTGATACCAACTATTACGTGACGCCTTCCTGAGATTCTTTGGAAGGGAGACGTAAGGCTAAGCAAATGATGTCAGTGCAGTTACTGTCCGCCAACTGAAGTCCCCTCCGTACGCTAGACTAGATTGTTAGTGCCGTAGGGAAAAATCAATGTCAAGAGCAATTGAGAGAACAGAAATAAGGATTGAGAATGAAAGAAAGATTGATTGCATTAATGAAAGCTATTACAGAAAGGCAACGCGGTGTCGAGGGGGAGAGACGCCAGTACAGAGAATTATTTGCTTGCTAGAAAGTTTGATTGCTTGATCCCCCCGAATAATACTTAAAAAAATTAAACCAAAGCTACATGACTAGACTTGATTAAGCTAGAGAAACATAATGGAAGTACATGGAATAAAACTACTCTATATTTACAATGAAAAAGACTTAGTTTTCTACAAGGCAGAAACAGGTCCGTTGTCAGTAGCATAGTCTTTGGCATTAGGGTCTGCGCGCGCGGCGTTGTCTGCACGCGCAGCACTGTTGGCATCCGCCTGCGGTTGGGCGCTAGCGAGGGATATCGGTGGGGCGACAGAGGCACATGCGCGCTTGTCACTTGGCGCGGCCAAGACCACGGAGCCGTCTGTGGCGCTGGGCATTGGGAGGCTTGCTAGGACGCCACGGGGCACGCCGAAGGGGTCATGGGGCACAACTAGAAAGCCGCCCATGACATTAATAATGGCAAAAGAATGATTAGGAGATATATTTATGTAACAAATTGGAGTTAGACATGAAAACTAAAGCCTTTCCGTGCATTAAAGCATGTCTATCAGCTTTACAAACTTAGTTAAATTGTTAATCGACACGAACTAATCAACTAGCGTATGAATTAAGATTTATATGACTTGGTCTAATCATTATTATTAGATGGAGAATGCCACAAGAAAGATCTATAATTATCATAAAAAATTAACTTATGTGGCCATCCACCTAAATATTTAAATCAAAAAACAGCCGGTACATATTTAATATATGTATAATATATATTTATATAATTGTGTATGATTATTGACTTAAAAAGGTAAATTATAAATGTGATCGACTATTTGTGTAAAGATTGCACATTAAATTTTATCGGTGATCATTAAACTTTGTGTTCATTACCTAAAAGTTACTTTTCTATCTTTTGTTACGTAAAAGTCATTCAACTTTATGTTCATTACCCAAAAGTCATTTTTCTTTCTTTTATTAAACAAAAATCATTTTACTATGGTGTAGTTATCCCAATAATCACTTTGATCAGATTTTATAAAACTTTCATATGAAAAGTCTATTATGCCCTTGACATTATAAATCCTTCCTTTTATGCAATACATTCTATATTATATATTTTTACCTAGATATTTTACATATAAATAAAATAATTTAATATTATTTTATTTATTATTTTTATAATATATTCGTACATTTAATTTTTTTCTTAATATTAATTCTCAAGATGTATAAGTAACATTATTAAATTTGTCAGTAATATTATCGTAAACAAATCTCAAGTTCACGTTCTTAATCATGCTTAATGAAAATTAAAAAATCAAAGCTCATTCATTTATCAACCAAGCCATACCCATTAATTTAATAAATAAAATACCCACATTTATCAAAATGACACATCAGATTAATACTTTCAAATAAATAATATTAATAGATAAAGCTTTTAAAAACTTAATATTAAACACAAATATCTTGAAACTTCTTTTAAAATTGTTATTGACTATAAAAAAAATTATCATTTATTAAACAAATTTGTTTTTATTATTTTAAATAAATATTAAAAAATAAATATTTTTTATCATTTTTATATTAAAAATATGTTCATGTTTGAATATGATTAAACAAATTGAGTGCTATGAAAAAAATTAAATGTATGGACATATTATAAAAATAATAAATAAAATAATTTAAAGTTATTTTGATTATATGTAAAATACCTAGATAAAAATACATTATATAGTATACAAGAACATAGTAGACTTTTCAAGTAAAATATTATAAAATCTGGCAAAAGTGACATAAGCGAAAAGATAGACCAGAAAATAAACGTAAAAATAGAAATATTGGAGAGTTTGAAGTTGGAGGAACGCTTATAAGATAATGGAAGTCAAATCTCATTACTCTTTACAAGAAAAGCTTATTCACTAATGGTGCCAAGCAATTTTCAACCCCAAAGTGAAAGCATTGTTGAATATGTTCTATTTATATTTAGTGGGGATCCATCAGTTATATTGCACCAAAGTCAGAAGGGTTTTGGTCCCCCAACAGCATAACTTGCTTTTTCTTGCTAAAATAAAATGTTCTTTT